GGCTTTTCCTGCCCATAAATACCTTCAACCTTAACATTTGTTTGAGCTCTTTAAAGACAGAAAGTCAGATAACTTTTGTCTGTAGGGGTTGTTACCCTTGCAGGTAGTTCATGAGATTTGCCTGTGGATGAGAGGCAACTTGCTTATCAAAATTTAAATTCTTTGCCTTAGAACAGTTGTTGGAAGCTACCCTGTCTTGGATTACTCTATAGCTGTTTTTACTACTACTACTACTACTACTACTAACAACAACTACAACCCTATTTCACTCTTTCATACCTCTGTGCCTTAGAATTTACCAGCTCAGCTTCATTATGGAATGCCACATAAATTACACTGATGTATGTAAATACAAAAATACATGGATATTAACCCTGAAATGCAGGTAAATATTGCTGGGTTATTATGGGGGGCTAGCAGTATCCTGTGAGGGTAGATTGAAAAAGGTGGGCACGTTGATAGTGTGGTCAGTGATCTGATGTTTCAGAGGGGTAGGAATGGAAACCTGTGTGGAGGAAGCAAGAAAGGGCAGGAGATATTGATCATAAGGAAAAAGGGGGAATGCCTGCCTGTAAGTAGCAACCTGACTGCATATGGATGAAGGCGATGCCTCTGCCCGCCTGTACATGGTGTGTTGTTGCAGGGTCAGGGGCGAATGCTGCTCCCTTTCCCAAGCATTGAAAGTGCATGTGACAAGTAGTTAAAAAGGTCCCCTGCCTTTTTTCTTTTAGAAATAGAAGGTTTCTTGGTCAAACAGCAATCAGGTGATTACCATCTACTGCCCTAAAGCTCTCATTGCATTGATGTTTTGATACAGTGTCTTTCATTTGTATCCTGAACTCTTGCTTGGGGAGCTTTGGGGGCAGCATCTAGGGTGGGTCTGTGTGCTCTGTTTTAACAGTCACCATGTTCTGTCCCAGCCAGCTATTTTCCAGTGGTGGGAAAAATGGTTCCCATGTATGCAGAGCTGGGTTTGAAAGAAAAGCGGTAGATATCAAAGGGTAGGGAAGACGTGAAGAATTTTATTATTACTCTTACCTCACCTTCGTGTCTCATTTACATGTTTAACTGGCTCTTGCTTGCCTCAGCTGGTTAAAGCTCCTTTGATTTGCTTCTTCCTGAATAATTCTGCCTTGTTTGATATGAAAAACTATCCTTTTATCTCTCATGAGGCTGGGAAAAGAGAAGGAACCATTCCGCAGTACTTACTTGCTTACCAAACATCCCCAATTTTCACTCTGCCCATCCAACACGCGCACCTATTGTCTGGGACATAAGGTGGGACGGCTGGGAATTTTACACTTGAATGATTTTCACATGAAAAATGCCTTTTCCTCCTCTGTAACCAAAATGTTCATTACTTGTGCAGCAAGGTTGCTGGCATGGCTCACTTCTAGGCTCTGACCTCCTCACCCTGCCTTCCAGATTCTCTGGGTCCTTTCCCCTCAGAGTTAGCTTTCCTGCCACAGCTTGATGTTATAGCGTCATAGGGAGATGGCTCTCAAGAGGTGGATCCAGGTTTTTGGGTAGGTCTTTGTCTGAACCCAAGCCTTCTTGGCCTTGATTTATTTTAATCTAGCTGGGTCCTGCTTCGTGGGGTCCACTGCATCAGGAACCTAGGTTCTCAGGCCTCAGCTCTAGGTCCTCATGGTTTCTGGGCCACACAGCCCTCTAGACACACCCCTTGTGGGCCCAGGAGTTGTGCTCCCCAGTCTTTGCTATCAGATATGCAGTCCTCTGACACACCACAGTCGTTACTCTGAACGTACTTGGACCCCTACCTGTACTCAACACCCCCAGGTTTTGGGCCACAGGAGTGCTCTGAGCTGGGTGCCTCTGCTGCACCCCACTGGTCTCCAATCCGCACCTTACAGCAGCACTGGTTCTCTGGTTCAAACGTTAATCAGAAGAATGAGTGTCTGCTCCCAAAACATACGGCTCACAAACACCAGCTCCCTGGCCAGAGTTCATCTCACCCTATGGTAGCGCCAACACAGGATATTCAAGGCAGTGATCTTGTGTTGACTGTGGTGTAGGGTCTCTTTCATCCTCCTTTGGCATGAATTCCCTTCTCCTTGCCATTCTGGATTGGCTGCTCCCTGGACCTCTACCTCTTGCGGCTCCTACGGCCAGACTGCCACTTCTGGCCCAAGCCCTGGGTCTTTTTGACTGTCCCCCTGAGTCACCTGACCCTCTGCTTCCACACCAGGCCTGCCAATCATTGCCTACACCTGGGGTGGGTGGCCATCTTACTTAAGGTCCCCTTTTGCAATTAAGTCTGTTTACAGAGTTGAACTAGCCAGCAGGCCCTCGGCTCCCTCCCCCTCTCAGTAATGGGGCAAGGGCCCCATTACCCCTCCCCTGCAATAAAAAAATGTTCATGGGACCCTTCTAGTTTTGCTGAAAACCTGGTTTTGCATTGGGAAAATCCAAATGATGTTCCCAGAGTTATCTGTCTAGACAGCTGCTGTCAATTGCATTTTGTGGCTTCAAGGAGAAAGCCAGATTGGCAGAAGCCTTGCAGGCAGCTAGGTGCCAAAATGGAAACTTGTAAATCAGTCCTCAGGCAGTGGCTTTTTTCTGGTTATTTTCCCCTGTGAAGAATTTCTCTATTTAAGAACAACAACAAAGGTTTCTCCCAATTTTGAAGAATTTTTTTTCTCCCCCAAAACCGCACATTTTTTTATCCATTTTCCAGACAACTCTGCATCTCTCAATCTCGTTGAGCCCTGCTTCATGGGTTGTTTTTGGAAGAGAAACCATGTGGACATGCCTACTGACAAACATTTGAGTAGGCCTGTTAACCTTAGTGTGGAGTACAAGCCACCAATGCGATACCGTGGCTGGCAAAGTGAGCAAAACTCTGGCTTGCATCTACCGATACATCTCAAGCAAGACCCAGGATGTCATCCTCCCACTGTACTCAGTCTTGGTGAGGCCACAGCTGGAATACTGCATCCAATTCTGGGCTCCGGAATTCAGGAAGGACATGAAAAAGCTTGAAAGAGTCCAAAGGAGAGCCATGCGCATGATCAGAGGACAAGAGAAACAGACCTTATGAGTAGAGGCTGAGAGCCATGGGACTCTTCAGCCTGGAGAAGTGCAAGCTCAAGGGTGACTTGGTGGCAGCCGATAAGTACATAAGAGATGTGCATCAGCATCTGGGGGAATGCCTGTTCACCAGAGCACCCCAAGGGATGACAAGGTCCAACAGTCACAAACTCCTGCAAAACCATTTTAGACTGAACATAAGGAAAAACTTCTTTACTGTCCAAACCCCCAAGGCCTGGAATAGACTCCCCCTAGAGGTGGTGCAAGCACCTACTGTGGACATTTTTAAGAAACATTTGAATGCTTATCTTGCTGGGATCCTTTGTCCCCAGCTGACTTCCTGCCCCTTGGGCAGGGGGCTGGACCCGATGATCTTACGAGGTACCTTCGAGCCCTAATGTCTATGAAATCTATGCGGTGTTGGTGATTTTATTAAAAATAGGGGAAAGTGACAGCTGGACAAACTCATGTAATTTAATCTAATTTATAAAGATGTAAGGCTGGAAAGAAACCACCCAGCCATCCTATCCCCCTGCATTTTCAGGCAAGCATTTGTCCAAAAGCATCCATTAGGTCATCCTCTCTGCTCCATCGCACACACTACAGCTACAAAATACCTTCTCAAAAAGCATTTACATCTCTATAGCATACCAAGTGAAGAGAGCAGGTGCTCTGAATGTTCAGGCTACTATAAGGAAGGGAAATTGTTGGGTAAAATAAACCCAGATGATTCTAAGTGGCCCATGCTTCATGCTACAGAGAAAGTAAAAGGCTTCCTGCGCCCCATCCCCCACTCACAACTCCACCCTGTGGTCCTTGTCAACCTGACCTGGAGAAAACCCCAAACTGATGATGAATTTGGCCCTAAGCATATAAGCAATACCCCACCAGTGTGGCTTTGTAGAGGTTTCCCAGTATTCCCAGTACTGTTGGGAGCAACAGTCTCTGAACAATCAGCCATGGCTAATGTCCAGCACTTCAGAGGAAAGTGGAATGAAAACAAAAACCAGATGATGTGTGTTTGAATCAATGTTCTAACCCAGACACCTTCTTGTTCCCCAACCCACAATGAAATTAGTTTAAATGGGGCTGGGGGAGAACAGTATTGCCAGCCTCTTGTGATTCAAGATTATGAGTCGAGCTCCAAGCTTAGGATTGGCTTAAAAAATTAAGTGCCTCTGACCCCCGACCCTGCTGTTTAGAACACCCCACCTCGAGCTACTTTTTGAGCTCCTTGCATCACACCTTGCACTCCCCTTCCCCATCTCAGTATAGACTTTCTTGCTGCTTTCACTGGCTGTAATGGCAAGCAGTGTGTGTGTATGGGGGGTGGATTTCCCCCACGTCTGTTTTCCACTAGACTCATAGATGCAGTCAGATTTTTTCTAGACGAAGGTACTGATATATCAAAGAAGCACTTTGTGATTCCAGCCCTTCTCATCCATGGTCTCTGCTGCCTCCAGTACTGTCAAGGCAGTGTAACTTGGGGCCCTGGAGAACAAAGATCTTGGGTTCTGTTTCTGGTTTTCTCTCTTCTTTACAGGGGGTCACAGCTGTAGCATGAACACCATGGTCTATAAGGACCCTGTGACTTTTTATGTAAGAGCTGCAGTCTCCACCTCAGAGAATTGACCAAATTATGCTCCGGGTCATTTCTTTCTGATGACTAAAATTCCCGGTGCACTGTCAGATGGATGTAGGATTCTTTTTCGCTTTCTGTCCTTAACTGCCACTCTTATATTTCAGTCAAGAGTGAAATTGTCCCTACATGTCTTTTGGGTTGTTTTGTAAACCTTGTTGGCATCCTTCATGATGAGACTCCAGAGAAGGGAAAAGAGGGGCCAAAATGCATGCTGACACCACAAATTACCAGTACACAATTAAATGATGTCTTCTTAGTAAGTTTTTGTCATTTCCACTTTTCCCTCTCCCTTTCTCCCTTGTTCTAGTCCCCTCTGCAGTTCCTATGATGCATCAGGTGAGCCGCACCACCAGCAGCATCACACTTTCCTGGCCACAGCCCGACCAGCCCAATGGGATCATCCTGGACTATCAGCTGCGCTATTTTGACAAGGTGAGTGTGGGGAAGAAGAAGGAAGGGATAGCTGCCAGCCAGGGTGAGCATGGGGCAGGGAAAGGGAAACCTCTGGATGGGAAGTTCAGCTGGAAGGGGAAAGGAGCAAGGGGAATGGGGACACTTCAGATGTAGAGAGAGAGGAAATGTGAGGAAAAGCTGAGACATGAAAGGCACATATAACATTGCATCTCCCATCAGTGTTTTTCAGCTGAGTAAACTTGAGGACACAGGTCGACAGAGGAGAGATCACTGGCTCAGCCAGGAGCTGGGATAAAACCCACTTGGAAAAGCTTAGGGCTGCTGAATCCAGGTTATAACAGAGGGACCAGCAGTTCTCAGACTTTTTGCTATGAGGGGTCAGACTCATTTCAACAGCAGTGGCACATCAAAGTAAAATCCCATAAGATACCTAAGCATCCCCTTCTTTGGCTGGATCGAAATCTCCAAGAACCCTTGTGGGGAGGAATGCCTGTCCCTTTGACTTTCATCAGTGCTGCTGTATAGATGGGCCATAGAAGTTTGGAATGTCTTAAGTGAGGACATAGGATAGTGTCAGGTCTTGCCTGCTGTTCATTAGGTATTATGCCACCCATTGCAGGGTGGCACATGGGGCAGTGTGGTTATTCTCCACCCATGTCAATCATGTCTCCTAACTTGGAGCTTGTTGGGTACCGCGGAAGGTGCTTGTAAGGTGGTTCATGCCAACTCCCCCTCCTCAGCTCTGCTTATCCCACTGGGACACGTATACACAATCATACATGACTGTTCCTTCCTCTAGCAGGGAGCATCTCCTCCAGTACAGCTCCTCCTATTGTGCAGCACAGCATATGCTGTTGCAATGGATTCTGGGAGGGAATTGGCTGATACAGTGGTCACAGGAGGCAATGTTTCAGGACAGGTTGGAAGATTTTTGAGATGAATGGCACCTCACTATGGGAAAGTGTAACACCAAGTGTGACACCTGGGATTGGAGTGAGGAATGAGGTGCACTAGCAGAGCTATGTGGAAAGCCCATGGCTGGGATAGCCAGGGGCCACAGGGCAAGAACTATTTTTGGGGAAATTATACTTATTTCATGAGATGTGTTGAAGGTGGATGGGGTCTCACATTTGTCACCTCCACTGATCAGTGATTGGGTTGCAGGCAGAAGATGAAGATAACTCCTTCACTTTGACCAGTGAGACCAACATGGCAACCATCTCAAACCTGAGCCCAGGCAAAATCTATGCCTTCCAGGTGCGAGCTAAGACGTCTGTGGGTTATGGGCCATACAGTGGCAAGATGTATTTCCAAACCCTCATAGGAGGTGAGTGCTGCACCTGCATATGTCTAGTTGTGCTAAGAGATTAGACAGTGATAGGGATGATCCTGCTTCAGGTGGCAGGGGATGGACTAGATGATCCACAGAGGTCCCTTCCAGCCCTACTTCTCTATGACTCCATGTTCCCAACCTCATGCCTGCAGGGACATGGCTCTCACCTGCACACACTTCTACCTGTGCCCAGTGGCTCATGTTCCCAACATCCCTCTGCCTTACATCCCTACTCACATTGTACACCTGCATGCTACTCTTTCAGGGTTACTTATTCCACGCAAACCAAGACATATAATCACAGGCAAAACCCTGTGCTTGGCAGGGTTGCCCTCCATTCATGGATAAAACAATGTGTCACCTGGTGATAGCTCTGTGCCTGGGATCAAAGGAGCTGGGTCAGGATGACCTCTTTACATGTGCAAACCGAACAGATGAGAAACAGTGGCAGAGGGACTCAGCCCAGGTACCAGATTTAGCTGACTGGTCCAGAGTCATCAGATCTGGGGCAAAGGCAGGATAAATGGATGGAGGGAAGACAGGCTTTCCAGGAGAGGGAGGGGGATGAGCAAAGAAAAGAGCAGAGAGACTGAAGGAGGTGATGGGAGTACCAGTCTGAGGGTGGGGGAGGTATCAGGTTCCTACATGTGGTTTGGGGGCTGGAGCTGTTCTTTGGGTGAACAGGCAAGAAATGCTAACAGCCTGTGTCCTCTGCATGTGTGTCTCCCTTGCCAGGGGAGCGCTCAGAGATGGTTCAGGACCGACTGCCGCTGATCGTGGGCTCTGCACTTGGTGGGCTAGCCTTCTTGGTAATTGCTGCCATTGCCATCCTTGCCATCATCTTCAAGAGGTGAATCCCTTAACCTGCTTGTGCCCAGCACCTGCACCCAAGTCCATGGAGCTTTCTTACCCATCCCTCCCTGGCCCTACCCCAAGGGAAACCCAGTACTATTGTGCAGTCAGCCAAGTGCTCTGTAGATTCTGTCTTGCTCTGCCCTACCTCAAGCAAAAACCCCATCCATCTTTCCCCTCAGAGGGCCCAATCTGTTGGTAAAACCCCCATTGGGAAATGGATGGGGAACAACAGGGAGACTAACAAGGAGAGATCACTGGATCTTGGCAGCCCAGAGATTGAAATGGCAGCCAAGAAAACTGGAGAAGGAATCTAGCAAACAGAGAAACTGCTGGGAGGAAGTATTAAAATCTACTAATGTGGAAGGCAGCTAGGGAGCCCCAAAGTGCCATTAGCTAAGGTTCAAGAGACTTGAGTTCATCTGAAAAAGTATACAAAATTGCACCCTCCATGGCAGCATGGAGACTCAGTGTTAGTAATGTCGGTTAGGGAAAGCAATCCTCACTGCTGCACTCAAAAGAATGGGGCAGATAGATGGGAGTATAGAGAGTTGGTCACCATTTGCAAGGAATAGAAAAGGAAGACAATAGGAAAAAAATAGATGAGTTCTGGGGTGTGACACTGAGCCATGGGGGGTTTTTTGAAAGGTGAAAAACAAGAACCCATCTACGTGTGCCCACTGAGATTCACCCAGGTTTGAACTATGTTCTTAGACTCCCCATTGTGGGTTTCTATGTCTTTGGTCCTTTTTGTGCCTCCTGCAAAAAGGGATATTTTAGCTTCTCTTCCAGTTTATAGCAAAGTACATGTATAGCTGTATAGTCTATTGTAGAAAACTAAACCTAATTTTGTTTATTTCTGGGGGGGTTAACCTTTTTAACATTTGTTTCTTTTGTGTTTTTTCTGGGGGATTTTTCTTTTTGTTTGGGAAAGAAAAGAATTAGAAATGTTATATTTACACTGTAGACCACTTTTGTATCTCTGAATTGTTAAAATATAATTTCATGTTACATTGGAAATATGTGATAATATGTGCACAACTCAATAAAGCATTTATTTTTTTTAAAAAAAAGAAAATTGAATTAATATGAGCCAAAGCTGTCACTGGGGAGGCGACTAAAAGTATTCTATAAATATATCTGTGGAAGAAGAAATGCCATAGAAAAGTAGGTCCACTTATACATGAGAGAAGTAGTGAAATTAATGGTGGCTTGGAAATGGCTGATGTCTCAAACCCTTGTTATTGTAAATGTCCTTTGGACATTTAGAAAAAAAGAAGCCCTTGTAAAAATAGCTGTTAAAAGACCAGATTTATATCTGAAAAAAATACATATATTATAAATATATATTACACAGTGAAAATGTCAATATACATTTTCTTGACAATATACAATTATTGCATGAGGGATTACCCATGTAATCTAACATTCATTTTTGAAATATGATGGAAAACTAGAGGGATATCAGAAGCCTAAGGAAAAAAGCAAATGTAAAACTGACCTTCAGAATTTGAAAGAACAATGAAGGATCCTGTCAGTTATCATCCCTGTAAGGCCAGTTTTTATCCTTGGGAAAATATCTGAGTACATTTCAAGAGAAAAATAACTCATGCACTTATGTAGCTGTTACAGAAACATACAAAGTCAGCAACAATGTTATTGAATAATGGTGCACAAATATTTTTGATTGATAGAATTACAGTTAGTGGATGGTTGAAGACATATTAATTATCTGTAGTTCAGTAAAGCAAACTGATATTGCCTTTCATGAAATTGTACTCTCAGTTTCCAGTGGGATTGGATAAAAGGAATGATGTGGATTGAAAACTGGCTAAAGAACTAGAACCCAAGGATGAGGATTAGCAGCACAGGGTTGTGTTTATGGAAATCTACATATTGGCATACTGTGGGGTTAGACTTTGGGCCTGGTCTTATTTAATATGACCTAGGTGAGGTTGCAAAGTAGCATGGTAATGAAGTGGACAGGTTGGAAGGAGCTGTGAATGCCAGTGAAGACAGGAAAGTAATATAAAGTGACTTAAAGCAACTAGAAATATGAGCAGAAAGATATGAAAATGAGTTGTAACTTGTAAAATTTATTTAAAACACCTGGGGGGAAATGACCTGAAACACACATACTCAGCAGGAAAAGGAATCTTAAGAAGCAGTGATGTTGACAAAGACAATAGAGGATCAAAATTAGATGAATCTTTGCAAAGAGTATGACAGCTGCAAACACAAGAGTCATCACAACATCATACAGCAGGGAGCTGGGAACTCCTGTCTGTCAGACTGTGTGTTCAGTTTGCGGTTCCATCATACCAGAAAAATAAGTGGTAGATGCAGGTCTGAGAAGAGCAATGGAACAAATAAGGGAAGAATTTCATAGATTTCATAGACATTTGGGCTGGAAGGGATCTTCGAGTCCTGCCCCAGACGCAGGAAGTCAGCAGGGATCATAGGATCCCAGCAAGATAAGCATCCAAATGTGTCTTGAAGATGTTCAAAGCGGTGCTTGAACCGCCTCCGGCGGCAGGCTATTCCAAACCTTGGGGGCTCGGACAGTGAAG